GGTCCCCTTTTGGCTCGGCTGGCTAGTTTCAACTCAAAGTCCCTCTTAACCTTTCTAATGAGCGAAACTGCTTCGTTACGATGTCTCGCATACTGCCTCCAAATCATCTGGGAAACCGAAGCTTAAAAAGCTTTCCAGCTTCGATTTCTACGTTTAATCGCTCTACCTACAGAGGCATGCCACCATGGCGGCTTCTTCCTTGAACCTGTGGTTTAAGGGAGCAAACTCATCTTGGAGGTTTATCAGGTTGTTTCTGATTAAACTCCAGCTTTCCTTTAAGTCAGCGTGCTGCTCCGAACTGTGCAAACTCATCTGAGCTGCTTTAGCTAGGAGTACATTCACGTCTATCCTTCCAAAGTTCCTACACATTCCTTTCACGGGGTCTGGATAGTTTTAACTGAAGTGTCATCTTCATGAGAAGATGATCACTTTTACCGATAAGAAGGCGATACTCTAGACTTTGTCCTTTATCCTCCTGCGACTGCTGATGGTCTCACCGATACCTAGTTTTCTCCTTCACGTACTGATAAAGGGCCCGGGAGTGAATCCATTCGAGGTAGCTTTTGCTTGAACCTCGAGGACACCTCCCGAGCTCTCAGTCAACATACCGAAGACTGAAGTCACCCATAACGACCAGTCTGGTCGAATTTCGAGCGAATTTGTCCAGTGCCTGGATAGTCTGTTGATCCTCCGATTGTGTGGCACTAAGACCCCTATACACACAGGCAATGGACATTTTTCTGCTATTTGTATTAAGGTCCACTGCAACTAGCTGCAAATTGAGAGTAGAAACACTAGTATTCGATTCTACCGGGCACAAGTGGGGTCTTAAGAGCAGGGCTACTCCTCCTTATTGTACAGAGCCACCCCTATCCGTTCTTTAGATAGCGAAGTTATGCTAAACCGTACTAGGGTTGGGATCACTCTGTGAGAGCCGGGTTTCTGTTATGCCAACAGCGGTAGCCTTATGGGTCTCCGCCGCCATCAGAACCTCGGCCTCCTTGTTTCTGACACTTCAAGTATTTGTATACAGCAGTGTCATCCTCTTCTGTTGATTTTCTATTTCGAATTTCTCCTCGAACGGAGAACCCGAGAAGAACCCACGTTTTTGGGGCCTCTACAACAAACTCCTCGCGTGGAGTTGCAAATATTATTGTTTAATCCTGTCCTCTGGACTCTGGTGCCCTCTTCAGGAGCGTGCTAGTTGCACAAGTAGTGTCCCCGTGCCGACCTACTGTGTCACTTACTCCTGAAGATTGAAGGCAAATCTGCCATTCTTCTTCTAATATATCCTCAATTATGACTACCGCTTTATCGGCCACAGGGTCAGAGCTATGAAGACCCACTACCCGCGTTTTTGCAGGTATCTGCTGTTGAGGCTTCGCTCGATTCTGGGGCTTGAGGAGTTACCTTGGTTGGTCAGGGACTATTCTAAATCATCCCTGCGTACGACTCACTATCCAAACGGCCCTCGTGAGGAACAGGCTTCGCATACCCGGATTGTTGAGTGCTTCGAGAAGCGGCATTGCTGAAATTTTCCCACACGGCCCACGATCCTTCCACACTTCCACCCTGTGCACTCTTTTGAGGGAAGTTTGGGGATTCAATCCTGCCAGCCGCAGGATATCCACCGCCCGCCCTTCGGGTTTTCGACTCTTTGATCAAAGGCTCCTCGTTGTTCAGAATGAGAACTGTTCTGTTGCCGTTTCTCATCCCCTTGTCAGATAGGGGTTCTAACTCCCTGCTGAGCAGGTTACCTTTATTTTTAAAGTCAAGGACCGTGAGGTGTTGCACCCTCTTCTTTAGTGGGGGGTTCTGAGCACTGGTCGACGCACAGATATCACCAGCCCTGAACTTCCTTACCGGTTTCTTCGCTTTTGGTGTATCTACCTGTACTGCCTTACACGCTGACCGTGGGCCTTTGTTACTTCCTCTAACACTTCCCTTCGTGGTCACAGCTTTGGCATAGGTTTTCTGGGTAATGCTCTCAGCTCCACTTCGTCATGTGGTCTGATGTTTATGAACGATTTGAAGAGTTTGCTCCTCGCCTACCGCCTTAGTACTGAAAGCCGGCGCCGCTGCAGCCTTACACACACTCCAAGTCAGGGTACTTGCAGAATAGATAGTACGTTTGCTGTTTAATTCCAGTGCCCAACTCTTACATGTACCACATTCTATTCCTCTAACCATTTTTTCCCACATGCGATAACCAAACAAGGGAAGGTAACCTTAGGCACGTTAACACGGGGAAAAAATGATATGCAAGGAAAACTTTGGGTATATTCTGTAAACGCTAGTAAATAAAACAACCAGGGATAATCGTATCGGAATTTAGATGAAATTCCGAGAATAACGATCAACTAAGGAACTAAAACTTTCACTCTTAACCTGTGCGGTTAAAAAATGTATCTTACTGATACTTTCTTAATACACGGTAAACTGTTATGAACAATTTATTGACAAATACACACTGAAAATCCTTTCGATAAATCAAAGCAGCGAGGAATACAACCGAATTCAAACGTGCTGGTCTTGAAGTCTTGAAGTATTACACGGGCGCGAAGCAGGGTCCAATGGTCCTGGATCTTAGTAGTTTTCAAGGTTTCTTCTGGTCCTGATTCCCGGTGAGCCGGATACGGACAAGGCTCCACTGCGAGAGATGTTAGGACTTTAGAGCGAGTCCGCGTCCTGTTTGCACAAGAAGGTTACCTGAAATGAGGTTAGAGGAGGGGAGAAGGGTGCAGTACCTGTATGCAATGCAAGAAATCGGAAATACAGGAAAAAATACTGAACATGCTATGAATAACTATGCTGCGGGGAGATATTTACCGTTCAGCAATTAGACCAAGATACCGGTCTAGATTTCTTTTGACAGCGGATCTTATGGGGACATTAACTACTACTTGGGAAAGGCTATTCCAGAGAGAAATGACCCTGTGGGTGAAAGAGCACTGACGGAATAGTGTACGGGCACGCGGTTTGAAGAGTTTCATGCTATGCCCACGAAAATTGTCCGTACTAGTGCGCACAAAGAAGTCATTGACCCTGCCGGAATTGAAGAGATTGAATAGTAGGAAGATCTTACCTCTTATCCGGCGGGTCTGAAGGAGGTGCGGGTTCAAGATGGAGAGGCGTGTGGGGTAACGGGTGGAGGACAAACCATGCACAAGTTTTGTCGCCTTCCGTTGTACACGCTCCAAGGCCGTACAGTCGCACACCAGGCGGGAGTGGGCAATTTGACTCCCGTATTCCAATAAGGGTTGGATGTACGTTCTATATAGAATCTGAAAGTAATCTCTAACTATTCTGGAAAATGAACGTCTTAGGAGGTTAAGAACACGGAGAGCGGATCTACTAGCTTTTTGTTGGTGGTAAGAGAACGAAAATGAACTGGTCAGCCAGAAACCAAGAACCTTGTGGTGTTCTGCACTCTCCATAGTCGTGGAAGCGCTAGACCTGAAGCTATCTATGGGGACCCTCCCAAATGACATACTAACACATTTGTCGTCATTTATTGGAAGGTTTCAGACCATCGACCAGTCTTTGATTGCATCCATTGCTGACTGAACAGCCACAGGGTAGGTGCCTCAAATTGTCACGTCATCAGCGTACATTGTGATGTTGACTCCGATCCTGTGTGGCAGGTCATTAATATATGAAAGAAAGAGGAGGGGACCAAGGAAGGAACCTTGCGGGACCCTCGTAGAAATGGAATAGTCAGATGAGAGCGATGAACTTACGCTAACCGATAAGGTGCGGTTCGTGAGAAAATCGCGAAGAGTGAGGAGTCTGCCACTGAGATCATATGACTCGAGCTTATANAAGGGTGTTAATTCCTTTTCTGCGGAATTAGATGGACTGCCTTCCCGTGTTAAACCTGACGATAGGTGACGCGCTCAGTCCCAGTTCCAGTGCAATAAAAACCAAGACTATTTCTTAATACGGTACTATCAATGCGAATTAATTATTCACATGATAAATAATATACAAACCTGGATTCGTGAGATATCTGGGTTGGGGCAGTCGTCAAGGCACTTTCACATATAAATAGGAATATGATAGCGCTCGACTGTGTCGAAATACACCTTACAATCAAGGTGCTTCAAAAGGGGACAGCTCACCGCTGTGTCATAAGAAGAATATGATCAAAGTTTACGGAGTCAAGCAAAATAAGTTCAGTCAGGCAGTGGCCTGAAGCTCACAAAGGATGAGTCAGTCCTAAGAGAGTTGAGCGCACACAATTTGACCTCTTAACAAACAACGACAGGCGTGTGTGCATGCATGCATGTGTGTGCGTGTACATGAACCGGTGACTCACAAGGAGGAATGAAAACAGGTCCCATGTGCGTAGGTGGTTAAATAATCGGTAAAAGATAAGCGGTGAACCGGTACAGAGCAAGGGTAGACGGAACACAGGTCAACCAATAGTAAGGGACAATGGAGGTTGTAACATTAAAAAAGACTGAAAATTCCTCTCGATTACCTTGCATTCCCTTATCTTTCTTTGCCATTCTATCGTGCATTCTTAACAATAGTGGTTTTCATGTCGGTGGATTTTCTCTTCTGAACCTTCTATTTCACCTTTTTTTACGGTAAAGTATATCTATTGGACACACTTCAAGTGCTTTGCTCTTACGTGTAAATGGGATTTAGTGTTTTTTCTTGTTTTATTGCGACCAAAGTTTCGACTGGAAGCTCTTTTCTAGACTAACCGTTGCTTTCGGTTACATTGAACCCCTTTTGGCTTTAACGCTCAAGATTATTTTGTTTGATCTGTTGAAGCGTGCAGAAGTTTCCCATTGGTCCAGAATTATCTGAAAGGTAGTTCGAATCACTCATTTTTTATTTACTTTTTATTACCGCAGATATTTTCTGTGAATATTTGTAACATTTTGGCTGGATAGTGAATCAGGCTCATAATCAGCGGTATGACTGCCTTATGTATTTGTGATTAATGCAAAAATAGTACCGTAGATTATTTTTGGATCGACTTGGTTCTCGATAATTTGGGCTACACGTTGCTCTGAGATTTGTTTATCGCTATCCAGAACGAGCGAAGGATCATTTGATTGAACGCATACAGACGAGGTCTTTTTTGTTTCGCTCGGACCAGGACAATGGCGTTTTGGTCGGTACAGAGGTCACAAGTGAACTCATGTGGTTGAAGTCATACGAGTGATCGGTGTGCGTGTGTCTACATGTCCACTAAGGTGTCAGAAACTAGGAGGATTAGGCACTCACTTAATTATGTGAGAAATCGATAACCAGAACGAAACGAATGTCAACGGGACAAATAGGAAGCGATAGAGTTGACAATGAGTCGAAAGAACACGAAATGAATCTAGGGAGAAGAATCAATAAAGGGAGCTTGCGGAACACGATCGAAAGCTTTTGCAAAATCAATGAAAATTGCGTGAGGAATCAAGCCGTCATCATGAGCTTATGTTAGACTGCCCATGACAGAGCATATTGAAGATGCAAGATCTGCCAGGGAAGAGGCCGTGTTGGGTTTCGGAAAGAAGTTGATTGTCTGTGAGGTGTTTTAGAATTGCCCTTGATAAAACACGTTCAAAGACCTTGCTGGGCACGCTAGTCAGGCTGATGGGTCTATAACTACTTGGAGTGTGTCGACCCCTTATAATTAATTGGGGGGATATGATGTCTCTCAGAGATTCAGGGATTTGAGGAGTGGTTTGATCTCCCTTGGGAGAATGATGATATGTTCTAATGGAGGTGATGCATTAGGATAAGGGAGATCGGAGTGGGAAGAGACAGGAGGAAAATTAAAGGCGGATTCGTAATAAGACCAAAAGATCTCAGCTACCTGAGCAGAGGAGGTTACAGGAGAGCCATCAGGTAGCTTGAGGTCTAATGCAGACGGGGTTGATTGCTTTTTACGGCGGAGTGACGTAAATAAGGAAGTTGGTTTATATCTAGCACAAAAAAGATTTGCTTTCTGTTGTCTATAGTGGAATTTCCTAACTCTCTGCTTACATGAGTTGCGGATTACCTTGAACTCGACAGCATCAGTGTCGAGTTCAGTACATTTTAGTGTAGCGAATGAACGCGCTTACTCCTCCATTAGGTGCCGAATGGAGCGGGGTATAGGTGCCTATGGTCAGATACAGATTGAACTCTAGGAATTAACAGGTGGTCCGCCTCGTGAATTAGACTCTGGAGCAACTCATTTAGGTTTTTTGGGTCAGTATCAATATTGCAGGAACCCAGCTTGTTGGTCAGCAGTTCTCGTAAGAGAACGAACTCGGCTCTTTTGAAGGAACGTAGCATTCTGGACGAGGGCCTGCAAGTTGGCCAGCGGATAATATAGTCAAAGGATAGCAGGAGGTGATCACTTTTACCAACAGGACTTAGATACACAATCATGTTCATCTGGCAGCTTTCGTTGGTAATCCCAAGATCAAGCAAAGAGGGACTTTGGCCAACACGGTATCTCGTGGGAGATACTTGGTGTTGGTACCACGAGTTTTCGTTGAAGAGGTATATAAGGGGTGCACCAAACATTCCATCTCTGGAGTGGCATCTGGTCCAGTCCATACTCGGGACGTTAAAGTCGCCCAGGATAGGAAGGTGTGAGAAAGTGCAGGTGGGACGGAGGTCGCGAAGCTGAGTTAGAATTGATTAACATTCCTTTTGTGTGCTTGATGGGGAGCGATAAACCACCCTCAGAAGGAGTGAATCCCTGCTCGATAAGA